TTTTTAAAGCATAATAATAAAAATTACTTATCTTGTATTCTGTTTTAGGAGGCAGAGATATAACAGTATAATTTCAAATTACAGAAACACCATCTTGGTCCTCCAGAATAATAACGCATAAAAGGGGTGTAAGAAAATAGTAATAATCACATTGCTAGCAATGCACAATGTCAGGTTGACTCCCACGCGGTTTCCCTTGAAAGCCATTGTAACAAGACCTTTCTTAGTTCTAGATTAAATACGAATTTTTATATACATACTCGTGAAATTACAAATTAAGAATTTATACGACATTAGTAAACATTATTTAATTAAGACCCATGCGTGAACTTTTCTAAATATTAATTTTCATATATTGTATTATAACATACTTTTGGCAAATTTAATTTAATACATATTAGTAAACGTTTTATACTTTCACATATTTAACAATGCAGAGAAAATACGCCAATTATTCATAACAAACAAAACTGAGAACAGTAAACAGTTCTTTGTAATCGACAATACTGGGTTTAAACTCTATACTTTATCGATCCAAACTTCAACAAGCAGGTAGTGTAATCGCAAAATTGAAAGGCAATTTAATGCACGGCATCGTATGACGCGGCCCTATATAAATGTCTATTTATAAAACAATACAAATAGCAACGGTATGATGTAGCGTGGAGAAATCTAAATATCACAACCCTAAATAAAGTGCGATTAGTATGCATACCAGTGCGACAAACGCAGCCAAAATCGAGTGTTCTGATGGTGTAACAGCGTGATTGTGGTAGTAATGGGCCGGGTTCGTTCGCCGTCAAAAGCGAAAGTGCTGCGTTCAGTGGGACAACGACCGGCTCCTGACTGCCCCCACGGTTTCCTGCACCCGACATCATCATCAAACGTCGCCGGCTGCGTCATCTACGCTACCGTCAAGCGACTGCGGACGGAGCACGAGGTGCGTCATTGGTAGGTCTTGCACGGAACTGCCGCGCGTTAATGCATATTGATGTATTGGCACTTACCTAGCTTACCGACTTATTATAATAATCACCATTTGTTTGAATGATATTGCTATCTACAGTTGTCATTGATTAGGAATAAGAAACCTATACATAAAGCAGCATATACATCTGGTCATAGTATTCATGTAGTAACATTATATTCGTACCTTTCATATATAGGTAAACATATAAATACAGTAAATATAACCTGCTTGATTTAGAAAATTAAAACAGTATTTTGGTGCCATATAAATGTTAAATTTTAAAGAGTAACAAACGTCCGTGAACTTCTGTATGTTTTGTAACATTATCACTAAACAAGTAATCATTATAAACGGATTAAAAAATCGATAAGCTACGAGTCGAGCTCGCACCCCGAGGATTTTACGAAACAAAAATTTTAAACAGTTTTATTATATCATTTACTAGCTGTCCCAGCGACTTCGTCCGCGTGGAATTTAGCTTTATTTTTCTAAAATAAAAGTAGCCTAAGTTACTCCTTATTACATCAGCTATCTGCCAAAAAAAGTCCCGTCAAAATCCGTCCAGTTATTTCAGAGATTAGCCGGAACAAACAGACAGACAGAAAAAAATGTATATATTGATATTTTGGTGTATGTATCGTATTTATATTCATATGCATGTAGTAAAAAACGGTTATTTCAATATTACAAACAGACACTCCAATTTTATTTATATGCACATTGTTACAATTTTTACATAGATGTTAATATGATAAAAGTATGAAACAAATTATACATTGGATTACTAGCAAAGTTAGTATGTCTATTTAGCTATTAAAATATGACTGAAAAAATATTAAAATGTATGTAATTTTTTCACGATGGGAAATTTAACTAAACAAGTCCATTGTAACATCTTACCCCCCAATTGGGGCTAGTTGTTACATCATCGGGGCACGATGTTACGGTAGATAAATAAACACAATCATCAATTATATATTTTTTTTTATTATTATTTTAAAACATTATAAACAATAGACATCATTTTAAACAGTCTCGTAACATTTAAAACCAGGAAACCAGTCCAGCCCAGCCATATTATTTTTATACCAGCTGGGGGGAATATTTTTTAAATCGAGTTTTATAGCACATTGATAAGCTAGTTTGCGTACTTCTGTTGGTAGTAAACCAAAATATATTTCTGAACTTTTGAGTAGATTAGAAGCTAATTTATGTTCTATTTCTTGTGAGAATACCAATTTAGGTTTAACGTAACCAAATGAACAACTTTCGTTGTTTTTTGTTTATCTGAGACACCTGGATAAGGACATCGGACACAAATTAAACATTTCACTTGCTTTACGTATGCTCGTTTTATTCTGCCGTAGGTACGTCTGCTGCAGCAGATTCATAAACTTTTTTACTATACTTCTGTACCTCTTTCTGTTTTCCTTTAAAAATTTTCTCATGCTGGAAAAAAACAAATAATATGTGGAATTTTTGAAATGTGAAGACGAACGGTACGATACCAGATATAATATTTTTGGGGTAAGTTGTTACATATAACAACTTACCCCAAACAATTATAACTACTTGCCCCATGACACGTTTTTTAATATAAATTGAAGTCATCATTAATGTATATCAATATCCGAATAAAATAATATTGCAAATTCAAGGTAGATTTGTAATGAACGTTCAAGGTTAAAAATTTTGAGGAAATAAAAGATAAGACATCAGGAATCAAAAATTTCGTAAAAGATTTTTTTACTTGGTTGAAATCGAGACACATGCACGCAACCTAGCTCCTTGGCGCTTGGCGGGTCATTGATAGTTTTTATCTAGTGCACGACGTTATAAGAACACAAATAAGTCCAATTATATCCATCAAAGAGTTTAAAATCCCGGTAAAAACGTGTGTAACTTCGTACCCTGCAACAACGTGCCCCCTGCTCCCCTACATATATATAGATTATATAACAAATTAAGGAACTAACTAAAACAGACACAAATTCTAAACCTAACAGTCCTCAAGAATATTATTGTAGGAGGAATATGAAAAATGTTATAGTATGTATATATATATTTCGTGGATATTTTCAAACCAATTACTCTTCATTCAACCTGTGCTAAAATTGACCAAAGGTAAAATTTAAATGTAGGTACAAAGGTACCTCCTTTTTTCTTAATAAAAAAAGCAGGTATGAAAATAATCAGAAGTATGAGTATGACAACTACATATACTGTGTATCAAAAAATATATCTAGTTTAAAATTAAATATTTTTGTATTAAATATTCTACTCAAAGATGTCACAAATCCACTATTTAAAGGAACCTTTTAAAAGTTAATAAGCATTTCCGATTTCTTGAGAAATATGTACAACTTTTTTTATCAGGCGCCAGTACACGGTAATAAATGACAACCAAATTTTCAGCAACATTGAAGTTTTTAATTTGAATTAAAATGAAATAATAGAAATTACAAACTATGAATCTATAACTCAATAAATTCCTTTAAAGTAGATAAAACAAGCTAAATTATTTAACATACAATATGGATAATAAACACATTATTCATGACTAGCATTAATTAATCGCTAGAATTATATTCCCATGGTATATTTCTAGGTATGAAAGGTTTTTTTTTTCAAATATATTATTCCATGATCGACGTTCCGGATTGTATCTGGCGCAAAGAATTTCACTAGCAACTTAACGTGGAAATGCTGCGAGCGTTATGGGAACCTTTAAGCCAGGTACGATACGGGACAGTCTTAGCATTTAGCTTTTATGTATTTTTTTTAATTGTATATTATATATAAATAATATTAATAAATTTATTATCTTATTACGTATTAATTAAATTATCAAAAGCTTATTTTATTAACAATCACATAACCAGAATATATTCAAGAATACCATACCATTTATCCCTATTTAATATATCCCTTTGAGTATATGATATAATTAGTATATCCCTTTAATCCGAATTTTATTGTGTCAAGTCATTCTGTTATCATCAAACAAGCACACTCTATACTAATGCGGCACATCCCTGCCGTAAAGATATGTACGTAGATACGTTGGTGGGGCATTAGTACATAATATTAGCATTAAGTCCAAGCTGTGTTAGCTCAGCGTGGCGAAATCACCAGGAATTAACCACGGTAGTTCTAGAGGACCATTGACACCTCTGTTCTAAATATATTTCAATATTTTATTTTTAATTTTGGGCTATTTTGAGGTGCCAAGACCTGTAACACTGCGGCTTAAATAGATCTATTACATATTGCTCTTTCAAAGTGTGCTAGTTACTAGACCCGTGAGGAACAATAATTGAAATATATTCTCGATATTTACTACTTCTAATAACCTAACATGTTTAGATCGATTCCTGTGACTTTCAACTGTGCCTTAAGTGTATAATTTGGTGTAGTTATTATTATTCTAGTACTAATTATTATTATTATCCTAAACCAATAATATATGAACGATATGGGAGTTTAGATGGTTTAAAGATTTATGATTTTAAATTTAATACTTTTGTGAGTTAAATTTTCCTCTCTACATATCTAATTTGTACAAATAAATAATATTTAAGTATCTGTTTGTTCTTGCAAATCTCTGAAACGAAAATAAAAGGTAACTTCGACTACTTTTATTTTAAACATTTTATTTAGTATAATAAAATAAAAATCCACGGGCATGACATCTCGCGTAAGTCTAGGGACTTTATTACATTATAACAATGTTTGTAAAAGTAAAAAATGTTGCATATACTTTTCTAAAGAAATAAATAGTTCACGATATCATCGTTATTGTAACAACAACAAACATATGTGAGTGACAGTGACGCATTTACGTCTATATGCTGCATTGTTCAAATTTCCCTCTTGTTGGTGGAGACAGCCAGTCGCGTACCTGTCTGTAAACGCAATCGTTACAGAGACGCCGCGGTCTGCATAGACGGGCATGCGCACTCCTAACGTACGAGTGAGCATTCGACCAAGAGGGAAGTGAGAAGGAACGGCGCTGCACGGTGCTTGCGAATGGTCGCCGAGCGCCTCCGTATCGCCGCCGCCGCCGCGCGCCCTCACCCGCAGTCCTCCCGCCGCGCCGGCTCTGCACGCTCCACGCTAGCCGCATCATGGTGAGTCATTCGTAAGTGCGAAACTATTCATTTGCAACCTTTGCAGTCTATGTTCGAACCAAAATAAAACCAACTGCTCTACTGTGTAAAAAAGGCCGTAAATTGACATGCGTACTTAAGAAGCGCCTTTACACCTTACATAAACAAAGTCTATCGTAAAATAATATTGTACTAAACCAATTACGCGTCAAGCTATTTAATAAAAATCATGTAGGCAGTTCGTGCAAAACACTGAAGGTTAGGTAAATAAATTTTAGGCATTTATAATCTTACACATATTTCAGGTAATGGACAACCGAATGAGCGAAGATAATGAAAACGAACGTAACTCGGCAATCTTCGTAACAAATTTTCAAAATGGTGAAGTCGTAAATTATTCGCTGGTTTTAATCAAAGGGATAATAACAAGAGGAAACTCTAATAACCAAGACAAACTGTTATGCACAATTACAAGCGATGGCATTCATAACAAATCACAATGGCTTGTTTATAATGGAGAATTTAAAATAATATTAGAACTTAAAAAGGGGGAAAATGTGATTGAATTAGAATATGCAGGTCAACAAAGAAAATCTCTACTCTTGGAATATACACCAAGGAAAACTAATCTCAGAGTCACCCCAATTTACATTATATGTCAAGGTCATGACGGATATTTTCAGAGCCCACCTGATGTTGACAATTCAACCGAAAGTGCTTGCTCCCGCATAGCAATCTGCTCAAAACTAATTCAAAGTATAACAGCTGAAAAGTTATTTGAAAGTGGTGTTGGACGAAAGACATTTCAGCTTGAACATGAAATTACTATGAAAAAACCTGAATGTATAATTTTCCGAAGTAGCCTTAATGTTAACAAGGCCAGGAAAATGAAGCAGGCCGAGTTGTGGGCTCATTTTGGAAGAGAGATAATGCTTTCAGATTTAGGCAGCAATGAACGAAAATTTTTGGGATTTATATCATGTACAAGATTTAAAGGCACTGATATTGATAAGCCTATGACTCATGACGAAATCGTTTCCTTAACTGAAGCATATGCTGCTCTAGGTGGAGGCGGATTAGCCTTATTTGGAACGGCTTGTTTATATACTTGGCCGACATGTATTGAGGAAATTGTTCCCAAATTTTTAGATTCAACTCCAGTGAATACTCATAGATTCATGGACGATAGTGGATATCGGGGGACCCTGGGCGGATGTTTTGCAACCACTTTAGGTTCAGTGTTTCACGAATTAGGGCATACTTTTGATCTCGGTCATACAAAAGATGGTATCATGGGGAGAGGATTTGATAATATTGATCGTGTCTTTCTAGTTGGCGAAAAAAGAGCATCTCTGGTAAAAGATAATATGAACAACTATAATGGAAAACCAGTTCAACATTCTACAGTATCACTTCAGCGTAACATTAGCGTCACAATGAACGTAGCAGAACCACTACGAGTTTTGGGACCAAGAAGTAAAACCACGCTGGGTAATTTTGCTTCTATGTCGAAATCTGATATAATAAGACGAGGTCCAAATATTACTCCAATTACAAGACCTTCAAGTGTATATTCTAGTATAACAAATAAGCTATCTGATTCTAAAAGAAATGTTAATAGAATAAACGGGAATGACTCAATTTATTGGACCAGGAACTGCGCAGTTTTATTATCTTATCATCGATGGTTTAACAATGAATACGGCAGAGAAAGACAAGCTATAACGAGATATTTGAAATTTGATAAAAATAAAATGATGATAATATCCACAGCTGGAATCAGAATAGTCGAAGTGCGAGATGAATCAAATGGAATGGTTTTAGATTCTTACGAATTTACCAATCTGTTGCCTGAGAAAAGATTTTTGGTACCATTCACATTTTCACCTAAAAGTAAAGTTTTAACTATTGTAGTAGAAGATGATCTAGGAAATGTATTGAAACAAACATTTTCTTATTGAGTGGTAATTCGGACTTCAGTAGTGATTTAAGCAATGACAATAAAGTGGAATACTATGAATAAAGATATATGTATATAGCAAAGGAACAAAGTTATGTGGTGTACATATAAAATTATAAAGTATTTTATTTTGTGAAAAAAATAGAGAATATAAGAGTAAAGAAATATGCTTACATTTTTTCAATGGTATCATTCAAAAGGACGTTTTAATTTTGGCTATGTGGCAACTCTCATATTTGACATTTTATTTTGTTTTTAAGTTTTATTTTTAGGTATTCGAAATATTTTTCTTATTTTATTCACAAAATATTTCAGGACTATAATGAAATAAGTGATGACTAAATAGTTAGTGAATATCTTTATTAATTTGTCAAAATTTTGTGTTTGAATAAACGTAATCACTAGTTTATCTAGATTGCGTATTAATGAAATGGCTTGTGCTTCTACAAAAGTGACAAAAAAAAATGTTTTCTATGATATTATAAAGCCATTTCCGCCAGTCATCAATGGAAAAATCAATTTAGTGAAATTTTTGGAGTCTGCGTCGGATTTAGTAACCTTAATAGGTATGTAGAAATAATGCAACACTTGCGATATTCAGTTAAAATAGTTAGTCATATCTTTATAATTTGTTTTAGACTAATAAAATATGTAAATGTGTTCAAATAAGTACGTTTGTTTTGTTAGAATGTAATGTCCATTGCATGAGTCTGCATACTAAGTTAATAATAATAGAATAAGTAGTAATATTAGTATTTTCACATCATTTAAACACGTGAGATAGAATATGTATCACAGGAAAATTTTCAACATATTTCTGAAATACTTATGCTACTTTTCTGTAATTGCAAATTTATTTTCACTGACTTATAATGTGTTGACTTATTAAAATCTATCACATTTTTGTGATTTACAGTTGAGCAATATAATCATAACACTATAAAAAATACTGTTACTTGCACCTTCATATGCTTTTTTGGAGATAAAAGATGGCATAAGCCATTTTTTATCTCCAAAAAAGAAAATTTGACATAAATATATTATGAGGATGGATATAAATCCATCCTCATGATATATTCATATCAAATTTTATTTAGACCTGTTCAGGAAACGGTAACAGACTCACTTTCATACTTATATTAGTATGGGCTCTAAATATGTATCCTTCTTTTTTTTCTGGTGAGATAAACCAATAAAGTAGGTATATTCAAAACAAGTACATTCATTTCCCTACACCATGTTGGTGCTAGGGGGGCTAAAACCTGCTTTACATTATAATAAGATTTGCTTTGAACCCACTAAGACAAATCTATCCCTACAAATATAGATTTCAATGAAAAATTGGTAAAATACATTTATAATTTGTAATAACCGATCCCCATTTTGATTCATATTCTGTAGCAGTTTTGTTCCACCTATCTACCTATTACTACCACCTAAGAAATTTTAATTTAAAACAATATTAAAGAATGATTACTTTATTTACAGAACATCTAGGCAAAATATATGCCCCAGTGAAATATGATATGCAAGGAAATATTGATGTAAGTATAACCATAACTCTATGTAAAAGTAATTTGTATGTCAGAAGTTGCTATTTGTCTGCAAAATAATCTATTGGATATGAAAAAGGAACAAGATTCTGAAGAAATTAATTATATAGATAATTGTATTATTGTATGTTTATACCATTAAATGTATTCTATATCACCTTATGTATACCAACAATAATTCTTCACTTACAGAAAATAAAAAAGGCTTGTGTCTTTGATAAGACATCTTGTTTACTCGAGTTAATGCTTGATGAAGTTGGTAGAGGAAAAACAGCTGCTACTGAAAGCATATTATGGCTCAACAGGTAAATATATATATATAGTTTTTGATGTATTACATTTCAAATATAAACTGTAAATGCCATAAATAAAGCATTTCACAATAAGCATTTAATATTAATTTATAAACATTCTCTGTACTTCATTTGTAAATTAAATTAATACTATATTATATGTAAAAGTTTTATTTTTATTTTAGCTAAAAAAATAAGATTGTGAGCAATAGTAGTGATATGAAGCCTATTATAATAATAAATTTTATAGAGTAATATAAAAACAGAATACTGGTATTTAAGTAAGTATATTTGAATAATGATTAAAATGTATATATTCTTTTACAGGGCATTGTTATTATTTGAACTAATATTTCAAGAAATAATTAGTCATTTAAAATCCAACCACTATGATGTAAATATGGATAAAATATTCATAACAGCTTATGAAGGATCACTTAAAAAATACCATAACTGGGTCACTCAACAAATATTTGCAGTAAGTTGAACATTACAGAAAAAATAAAATTATGTTACATAAACTATTACTGTGTTTTAGATCATTCATTTCTATTTTTTATTGTATTAAGAGTTTATTAGATAGCAATATTTAATTTTAAAATTATCTCATGATTGATTGTTAAATGTATATTATATTATACATGCTATCTTATATATAAAATTCTCATATTATATAAAAATATACATTTGATTTATTCTATAGTAATAGAGTCATGCTGAGTAAAATATGAACAATTTCATATTTTACACAGCTTAACCCAACACAGATTAACCCAACTATGAATTATACTTAAGGTTGATTTTGTTTTCGATTTTCGGTGATATAAAAATAAATACACCACATTTACATTATCTAATAACTTGACCAATTAAAAACCAATTTACCAAAGATTGTAAACGAAATTTATGAAGCCTGTACTATCATTTCAACTTTTCATTTAATTTTTTTATAAATGTCTTATTTAATTTATTATATTTCAGCTCATTTGCAAGATGTCACCCACACTTCCCCAAATTATGAAGTCATTAGATGTTGATGATGTTAAATCTTTTGAAACAAAGTTGTTGAATTTTAATATAACACTACATTTAGTTAGATGTAAAATTGACGACTTTTTCAAGGACCATAATATGTTTGTTGAAGTCAAATAACTCTTCTCAGTATTAATTTTAATTTATGACCAAGAAAAAGTAGATAGGAAAAGGTGATATAACTATTACTGATAATATATATATATATATATATATATATATATATATATATATGTACTGAATCAGTTAATGAATTATATTTTTATTGACATGTGAAATTGTACTAATTGACACATACAAAATTAATGTGATTTATTTATGATGTGGAATTTTTGTACATTTAAATATTAAAAATGCAATTCTCATTTAATCAATTAAAAAAATATTGCTATTCTTAGTAGATTTCACTGCAAGAGGCTGTAATTAGAAAGATGTACTTAAATATATTAAATAGTATCTGTAGATTAGTTCCATTAGCATTATAAATTGTAAAGTGTGTATGTTATGTGTGTGTCTTTATGCAGCTTATTGCATTTTAAGAGATTACTTTGCAAAGTGATTAGAAAACATTGAATGTTCAGTGCCTTGATGAGTGCGCTTGAGAGGCAAAGTATTGCAAATAATTTAAATACACTATAAAACAGTATTAAATAATTTTAGAAACTATATTTGATACCAATAAAATTCCTAATTTAAATTACAATTAAATTATTGGAACAAATAAGATTATGTAATCTCGAATAGCTTCAATAAGATAGAATAAGCTATTTATTACAATAACCATGATTGGTTTTAATATATTTTTTTATTGTATACACTGGTTAATCAACCCTTAACCAACTGTTTTTTTAATCAGAAATTATAATTATAATGTTATTTTATTTAAACGTCCAAAATGCTAACAAATTTTGTTCATTTTACATTAAATGTTGTATAACAACATAGTAAAGTATTTCATGATATATTTTGTGTTTTATTTAATGTAAAATCTATACTTACACCAAAATCATCAAATTTTTTTAAAATGAATTAAATCCCTTCAAAATAATTAGATAATTTTAAATATTAATTAATATTTTAATTACTAGCTAAGTAGCTTTCTGATATAGTTTGTTCTGGAACCAGGGCGCTATAAATAATGTACAAGCAGTTGAAAAATAAATATTATTATTAAGTAATGTTACCTAATTCTTAATATAAGTATTCATTTACCAAACATCATGTTCAATCCCATGAACAAAGTAAAGCTGATGGTACTTATTTATTGTTTGTTTAAATATACAATTCATATTACCTGTTTGTTTGTATCATCTGTTTTAAATAAATACTTTTTGCTAAAGAAGATGCCCGATTTAGTGCCATGTAGCTAAGTATCGATTCAAAAACTATTAAACTCCACAATATGACATGTAATATTATTTCTGTAGGTGTATTTAGTAAATATGGGTTGAATAGAAAGAAACTGATGAGTGGCAACTGCATTAGAACAGTTACCATAAGAAATCCTGCTAATTCTGGTACCTGTAAAAATATAAAACAAAGAATTAAAATATATAAAACAAAGAAATATATATTTTTAATTTTTATTTATTTCACATCCTTACACATTATGGATAAATGTCGCTTAAAAAATATAAATTTTCGTATAACATATTTGAAATATATGTATATCGGATGTGGTTACTCAAAGTGACAGATAACGAAATCTATAAAAATCTGATAAAAGCTAATTGGCTCATCGCAGATAGATAAGAAAAAAATTAAATAAAAAAATATTTGTAATATGACTTAAAAAGTAAAAACAAATACTAACAGGGTGATGTATACAGTTAAATTCCTCAAGAGTGAGAATAAATGTATTACAATTTCCAATTTGTGAGTACTTATATGATTAAATTCAAAATAAAATGTTTGTTTACTTTTTCCGTAAGTTCTATTGACACAGAGTATGTTATTTTACATATTAATAATTTGTATTAAAATGAACAATTCCAAAGGGTTAAATATGCCTTACTTCATTTGCATTCATCCTCAAAAAAAATGTTATTTAGAATCTTATTGATAGGTAAATTCAATTTTGATGGTTTGACAAGGGTAGATTATAAAATGTGGTAAGTCAATGTCACTCTTACCTATTATAGTATTGTACAGTTCATAATTTATATATAATGCAGGAGATAGTTTGTAAACTGATGTTCACAATGATATTATTACAGTACCCATAATAGACTAAAAATCAGTATTCTTATTGCTATAATGTTTCTTACCTGGCATGATAAATTTCCATAATATCCAAGATAAAGTCTTCCGTATTCAATAACAATAATTAACGCAAACACAGCAATGGATAAGTATTTCGTTAGGTGGCCCAAAATCTCAAGCTGAAATATTAAACCTGTTATAACAATTATATACAGAATAAAATATATATTCCCACTTCCAATTAATAAATATTATTACTTAAGTACTAACCTTCATGTAAATAAAAAATGCCGCAACAAATATCCAAGTCGTGTAAAGGTAAAAATTTAAATAGAGACACTTTTGAAACCAAAGCATCAATTGATATTTCATTGTCGCATTTGATATTTATGGTTTTAATTTGGTTTACATTTTATCTGGTAATTTTAATGCAATATTTTCACAAGCAGTCTAATTTATCTACAAATCCCATAATAAAAAACACCACAATTCGAATGCGCGATAATAATAATAAGTAATTAATTCTTATCAATATATTGAAATATACTCTGGCGCACTTATTCAATAATTAATAGTATGTACTTAATTTAATAGAATAATGTAAATAAATGTAAAAAAGTTAAAAACAAAACAAAACCTTCGGGCCACAGATCAAACAGAATTGTTAAATCCACAGATGATCACTCATGGACACTTTTTTTTTTTCTTCTTTATGGCTTGGCACGTCTGTGCATTTGCCAATATACAAAATTTGGTAACAGTAAAACAGTAGTTCAGGTAAAGGAAATTTTGGACGATAGGTTTAAAGGATCAGGTAAGTTAACAATAGGATTAATTATAAGGATTAGACTAAGGTACTACACTATACATATTAATTATATACAATATGTCATTATACTTATGTATATAAGACCTTAATATATTAACAGACAACTATTTACATATGATATATAGAGGCAGTGAGTTTTATATTTACAATTTTATATTATTACTACTTAGAAAAATCACACTTTTATATACAGTCTGACTAATTTCAAAATTAAACTTGTCAATCTGAGATTAAAAACACACTTTAGATATAATAGATATAGAGGGAATTGTTGGAACATGAAAGATTGCGTTTCTATATAGTCAACAGATATTTATACCTTTATGCAATTCAAAAAATATTGATTGTAATCGACTACTTTTTTAATTATTTAATAAGATTTATTTATGGAAACAATTTTTATTTATGCAGGTATTGATCGAAGTAATAATAAAAAAACAGACGTTTGATAAAAGATCTAAAATAAATGGTATTGAGGATTTTTAAACAGACTGTTTTTACTAGGCTTTTTGGTTACACTGTAATCTTCTACTGTGTCAGATTGATAATTCAAAAACTGTCAATAAAATGTCATTCACTTCAATATTGGCCGTATGGACTATTTTATGGCATAGTTCCCTTTGCCTTTCGCAAAATATAGAAAGATAAAAAAAAACATTTCAATTAATTATTTTTATATTTATTTCATTTCATCTTCGCCTGTCCAAATTGGACCAATTTTAAAACAATTATTTCATTTCACCTCGTATTTATTTAGTTATTCTTTAAATTTGATTTCTATTAATGCATTAATAAAGTACAGAAAGCCTACCCATGTCTTCAAAAATGTTAATACGACCATTTCAATGGTCGATAGGTTGGTTTCAAAACTTTCAAATTTTCTTCCATATATATATATTTGGTTAACCTACACGCAATATTGGATAGTACTAATAAGTTATTAAAACACAGCACTTTATAATATACATTTGATTGTAAGACAATTACAAAATCAGTTTTGTTATTAGATAAAATTGTTTCCCATTGTGTGTTATGAAATTCACCGACTCTAATTTTCTTACTAAATACAGTTTTAACTTTCACTGTTGTTTACAGTTGAACAAGGAAAAATAAGAATATTTAACATGATAATATTGTCTTTTATTATATTGTTTGTGCTTCTTCTCTACTGTACGTTGCAAATAAAGTATATTCTATCTATCTATCTATCTAATATTATTTAAGAGCTTCCGAAATTTCGACACTGGTCCAAACGTCAAGCTCTTAATTAATATTCTCGTCTTGATCAGATGTGGAAAGTTGAACTCTTGCAACTTTCTTTAAATTATGAATGATATTGTACAATTAAATATGCCTATATTTTCAGCAAACCTCACTGGACCACATTATAACACATGCAGTATGCTCTATCTTTTATAATTTCGTTTCTAGGTTTTCTGCGACCACATAATGTGGAACATACAATGTCTGTTGGAATTAAATATTTCGCACCTCCAAAAAACTATGACGGTAAGTGGTTTTTGGTTATAGAATAGACCATGTACATGTGTTCTTAGTAATTAATTATGTAATAAAAATTAATCATAAGATCATTCAGGAAGAATTTAAATACTTTTATATACTTACTCTTCACACCTTAAACTTAAGCCTGGTGTTTAACAACACCTTATTGTTTTTAAAACAGATGTATTAACATTATATTAATATTATCTTTAAAGTAATATAAAGTATAATAATACTAAAGATTAATTCAGATTCAGAACCGAAATAAACCGAGTGAATAACATTTTTAAAATATTTTGTTTGATCTAATTATTTTAAAATGATGATAAATATATGTAAGTAGTTAATAGATTTGAAAACTTAAAATATAGTATTATTTATGTGTATTCATTCCATGATGCACCATCAACTACCTTCTGTCTATTCTCCTTTACCCAAAGGTTATCTGGAAGAGCTTTTTGCTTAAGCAATAATACCACCATTTATACCTGCATACTATGTAAATCCTGTTTTATTTTGTATTTTTTTTAAAAAGTAGAATTTATATAATCAGCATCCTCTTTTTAAGACATTGAAATACCTGAACGGCAAAGGCTTCGTGTATTTGACAAAGTACCAATGTATCCTTCAAATTTGAAACCACCAAAGATGCAGAAACGACTAAGGTATATGAGAGGTCCTGAACCATTACATACTACACTACAACTGAAGCAGTATGGTGTTGTTGTAAGTATAAAAATTTCTTTCAACATTGGAACTAAAATGGTTTGGCAAATGGCTAGACCACCATAGTCTATATATAGATTATAGATATCTAGTAATACATGATCCCAGGGGGGAAGGGGATTGTTAGTAATGTAAACTAAAGTCGATTGCTAGTAATCTACCATGCATAGTTAATCTGATTAACTATTAAAATTAATGATTATTTGTTAATAAAAATTATAGCAATTAGTTCATCATAATCAAAATTTACATGGTAATGTTAACTATGTTAAATTTTGACCAACATATGACATTTATTTCTATTTCTCTTCCCTTTGACCAAAACATATCTTTCAAAGCAAGCTGTTAGGCATCAGATATCAGTGAGGCGAAGGTACACATGTAGACAACTTTCTTTGCAAAATCTAATTTGGTGGAGACCTTTCTATGGATAAATTCAAAGAATAATTAATGTTTTTGAAAGAAGGTTTAAATCATCTTTAAGGTTTACATAGATACCTAGGTTTACAATTCTAAGTTTTGAATGGATGTAAACCAGCTAATCAATCAATAATGATTAAGGTAGTAATTTTGATTAGCTTTTTTAATGATGATTGAAATTAGCAGTCAAATTAATAAATTGAATAAAAAAAAATATTAATGCAACAACACTGCCCGAGTCTGTATACAAATATGAATTTGTTTTTATGTGGACATTCAATTTTAGTATAAAAACACAGAAAATAATGTAGATGCAATGTATTAATATTCTATTTTTAGGCAACTGGTGGTGGCAGATTGCGTTTCGAACATTTTGAAATGGCACGTCTGGTAGTTGCTCGAAAATTAGACCAGAAAAGAATGTTTGCCATTTGGCGTGTAGATCCGCCATGGCAGCCTGTCACTAAAAAGGGACAGGGCCAGCGAATGGGTGGTGGCAAAGGTGCTATAGATCATTATGTAACCCCTATAAAGGCTGGCAGAGTCATTTTAGAAGTTGCTGGCAAATGTGAATATGCTGAGGTATGTATTAAATATATAAAATGTTTATTTAATTCCAATTAGGTCTTTAACGAGGTGTGTTTACTAAAGGTGAAATTATTATTAGAAGAATTAATAGATTACTTATTTCAATGTCCACTTACTGTATGACGTTGTTTAATATGTCATTGGATATTTTACTGCAACTTACAAGTGATAATTAGAATCGAAATTTATACTATACTAGCGAACCGTGCCGGCTTCGCACGGATGCATTACGAATTTTATAACATACAAGTATCATACACAGAAACCTTCCTCTTGAATCAATCACTGCTAAAAACTGCATAAAAATCCGTTGCGGAATTTAAAAGATATAAGGGAATAGACGTGGGCGACTTTTTTTTATGTTGTGATTTGGTTGGTTTGTGATTGGATTATGGGTGCAATGCAGTTTCTTAATTTAATATGATCTTAAAATTTTAATAAAGTTACCTAACACAGATATTGGTCAAGTTTATAGGTTTCTTCCTCTTGTCATCAGTTAAACACTTTCTTTGTAAAAAAGCTTAATATAAAATTGAAGAATTTATATATGACTAAGTACACGTGCACGCGGTTTCACCCGCATTTAATTTCAATATAGAATGATATGTGGCGGTTACTATGTTCACTGTCGCATGCCATCTCCTTGTTAATGTGTATTTATTTATAACAATATTTATTTAAAACAATAACACACAACTTATTTATTACTTCTTGTGATGAGTTTCCGTTCCATCAGTGGTAATATAAAAAGTGCTTAGGTATATTAAATTTATTTGAATAAAAATTACTAGCACATAAAATGCTATATTCTTAATATATACTTTTTCATATTTATTCTATAGCGAAAGTTGAGTCATTAATTTGTAGACGTATTGTAGCGTTCTGTTTTTGCCGTAACTAAGTTTAGGGGATATTTTAATTATATATTCAATAATTGTATAATGTATTTTATCGTTCAGGTATATAATATGTTGAAAATAGTAGCTGAAAGATTACCATTCAAAGCTGAAGCTGTATCCCAAGAAATATTAGAAAAAAAAGCACTTGAAGAGAAATGGAAAGAGGAAAATAACCAGAATCACTACACTATGAAATACATTATACAGAATAATATGGGAGGTTGTCATAGAATGCTTTCACCATTCGATCATGTATGGCATGGTAAATATTTATAAATATTGTATATTATTCGATATTATGGATATGTTTAGTTCAAATATAATAGTTATCTAAGACTTTGATGTTTTATTCTAATTTATATTATTAATAAGTTCTACCCACAAAACTATTTCCGAATTACCGGCATTAACAGGAACATCAGTGGGTTAAGCCATTAAGGTGAGGAGCAGTGAGGAGTAACAAACAAACAAAAATAAATTCATATTTATAATATTAGTGACCATTATATTTCATTATATCCTAGGTTAGGGTTGTAAAAACATGGCCAATTCAGTTTAAAAACAGATCCTGGGAAAACAGGGCTGTTGGCAACTCTATCCTAGGTTCATCAGCATCAGCTGGAGCCTAATTATAAAAAGTCTTCCTTAGAAATCTATACACATAAATAAAATTGGAGTGTCTGTTTGTAATAGTTAAATAACAGTTTTTTACTGCATGCATATGAATATAAATAGGGTACATACACCAAAATAACATTTTTTACAATTGTTGTCTGTCGGTTTATTCCGGCTAATCTCGGAAATGGCTGGACCTATTTTGACGGAACTTTTATTGGCAGGTAGCTGATGTAACCAGTATACTATTAATATAGGAGTAACTTAGGCTACTTTTATTTTAGAAAAATAAAGATAAATTCCACGCCGACGAAGTCGAGGGTACAGCTAGTAATAAATAAAACGCATAAACTCTTAGAAATGTGAACAATAAAATGAAACTATAATATTCATTAATAATGGTTTATTAAATTTGATATTTCATGAAAGGATTTCCGTGACAAGCCTCAGTTTGCATACATGTATAAACCTTGTAGTATTAGATAAAACTCCTTCCTTAAATATTATGGCAAAAACTCAACAAAAAACAAATGTTACAGTAACAAATACTACAGCGTAGAGTACTTATATTTTGTGATTTCCCTAACCTAACGACAAAAGCCAAACAACACGCTATCAGTGTTTAATAGAATATCATGTTTTACAGTTTTGCTAATACTAGTTGATCAGTACACGAAAAAACATCGCAGCAATGTTTTCCTACTATCCAACTGTGTCCCTAAATTATATTACTATATATATAGTTTCCTGACATTGTTTTGTTCTATTAAAGATCACATTAATACACATTACAAGATCGAAACATTTACTATTTAGTGTACTGTAACACACATTCCACCATCCTGTGCATATCTACTCTGTCCATAGTATTTTAAGCGACTCTACCACATTTATTATCTATTTCTGCTTTATCATCTTCATACCTATAAATTATATAACGTCATAACAATATTTACAAAGCCTAACAGTCTAACTTACGAGTAAATGCAATATACATCTTCAATAAATTAATACAGTGTTTACAATATTATACAAGCGCTAGATTCATATTATATGATATGGCTTTTTTTATTTATAAAATCGACTGCACTTTAAATCATTCATTATAGCAGTCATTTTATCACAAGTTAAAAACCATTGTTAAATTTAAAATACAATGCGCGATTTAATTACCTACCGCCGTTTTATACGAGGTCAATATTCGATTTTGCGAACATTACAATCAGCGAACGTACAATAATTACACCTATAATTGCATTTTTATTTTCTGTTGCTCTAAAGCCTTTATCATTATTGACCTCTTATAACTAGGTAACATTTGGGATTACGTACAGATTTTTGCTAAATACACTAGTACCTAACGTGATGCACAAAATACATTAAACTGCACGTACTTATGGAAATATAATTCTATGCAATAAAATATATTTATCAGATATTAATGTGTACATAATGTAAATTAATGCGGTGGTAATAACAAAGGAACATGACTCATCAAAGTATTCAGTTAATAAAAACAGTATAAGTAACAGAATTGAGCAAATAATTAGCTCAGATTATAAATATTTGACTAGTTCTGTGCCTTACAATCTAATCTTATTAAAATATGATTAATTCCTTAAACACTGGCAATTTGCAGTCTTAATACCTATGTATAATTTATATGTTATCATTCTGTAGAAATAGGAGAAACAATATTTGTTTTCTAAATGGAATATTTGTTATATAAATACGGGTTGCTTAAATTGTTCGCAGAATGATACATATAGTCCTATAAGCTAAGCTAAAGTTAGACAAAAGTGAGGTAGCATTTTTACCTACTAATGGAAAAATATTTACATATTCTAGAACAAATGCAATATTATTTTCTATTTGGTATTGGGATATTGTGGCAGCGTCAATGTCTAGGCTTTTGGTGTACCTAAGTCCGTAAGAACACGTTGCATTTAAGAGAAACGATTAGCCCGTACTTTAAAGGATAAATATATCATTAAATATACAGATTAAACAACAATATATACTTATATCAATCTATTATAACCATTAACGTATTGAGTATTAACTACACGCGCACAATTAGTACATATTAGGTTCTTAAGTATGTGCAGCTTTGTAGATGACTAGAGTAAATACGTTATATGATAATACATGTATAAAACAGTTACATTATATAGTATATTTCGTTTTTGATCACTGCAAGGATCCACATTTAGACACATATTGTAGAGGGCAATACCTTGACCCGCACAACAACAATTTTATTCGTAAGCTTCGCTCAAATGCTCCAACAAGAACTTCAGTTGTGTTTTCATAAAGTTGTTTTTATGAGCGATTGAGTCGCAAAGCATTTGTGTGGGTGCAACGACATTGCTGTTGTTGATATTCTCATATATGGGCGCGTCGTTTGACGGTAATAAATTGTTGTTTTGCGTGTCCATGGTGCTGCCCTCAAACCCGGTTGCCCGGGACATATCAGTGGGTGCATTGTATACGTCGATTGGAGGAGCTTTGATGATATGCTGATATTTAAACGTAGACAATATCTGCCGGATCTTTGCAATGATCTGCTCTACTCAGGCGTTTGATTCCTGCGAAAAACGGGCATAAGTCAGATTGCGAACTGTAAATTTAGGTATTTTGCAACAATATTTTTTATTAGTGAGGTTCACACTACTGTGTAGTTTAGGCTAATGATGGCTGCCGTCTAGCATTCTACTTTGATGATAAAGTAATGATTAATGGACTAAATATTATAGGTGAGGTGCCACAGTGCAGGCAAATGCCTTAAGATAAAAGTTTGCTGTAGGACAGTGACAAAAATATTTGACTCTTAAATATAGTACCTATATTAATTATAATACTGCACGGCAAGTATAAATATATTTGTATAAAATGTAGGTACTCATATAAAACACTACACTAGTACCATTTTAAATGCATCAAAATTTAGGCTGTATAGTTCATAAGATAGTAGGTAGACACATCAAAACACGTAATACGATAGAACCGCGCCGTGACCGCGACGACCGGTGACGGAGCTGGAACAGTATCGACGCAAGCGACAGCAACATCTATGTATACTAGAAGCATGGTGGGACGGTGTGAGTTTATACCTTGAGATTGTGGAAATAGTGCATGATTTGATTGTAGTCCATATGTAAGTCGTCAAGACCGAGCGCCTCCACGGCATCGGGGCGCGGTTCGGCATCATCCCTGCCCTCTCCGCCCCGGGAGTACATCGGGTTGCCTACGATGGTGGCGCGCTTTACCTCCGGAGAACTGCTCCCTGTACAAATATTTTCAAGTAGTTTCTTCATTCATTCCCTTGGACATTTTCATATGTAACTAGCGATACTGAGACTCATTTTAACATCAAATCGATTGTAATAATTAAGGATTATCTGAAGAAAAGTATTTACCTATGTTGTATAGTTTTTAATATTTATTTTAATAATATGCGCCAAACCTTTTTATCAAACAGTTAGAATTACTAATTAATAGATCTTAAGCAAGTTTTTTGAAGAATTGAATATGGAAACCAAGGAACAATAATAGTTTATTATAAATCTTTAATTTAAATAGACATACTTATTTACTTATATATAACAGTAATCTAATAATGGAAGTCTACCTTTCGTCTGAGCCTCCACAAAGTCTCCTTTCGGCTCCTTCGATCTGGTCTTGTGCCTCATCTGTAATTCAGGTAGTCCTGAAAAGAAAAAATATATAATTACCAATCTATTAAAAGTAATAATTAAGTATTACTATGTACGAGGGCTACACTGAAAGTTTTTAGAACTGGCTACTTGAAAGCAATATAATAAAAAAAAAATTAAAATTTTGAAAATGGATCTCTTTACGAATAATACTGAGTATATAATTTATTCGTTTGTCATGTGTTCTACGGTTTGGCGGCAAATTGAAAATAGTCTGTGTAACGTTATCATGAACTTAACACGAGAAAATTTTCGTGTGATGATTTTTTATGACTTTCGATATCATCTAAGTCAACAAGAAAGTTATGATAGACTACGATTGGCCTTCCACGATGAAGCCCCGTCTCGTACCACTGTTTACAACTGGTTTAATGAGTTTAAACGTGGTCGCACTAATCTCACCGATGATTTGCGTGAGGGACGGCCTTCTACGGCGACAACCGAAGATAACATCCGTGTTGTGCGGCGTATGATAGAGACTGACAAAAGAGTGACCTATCAGCAGATCCGGGCAAGCTTAAGGATTGGTATGAGTCAAGTGCACAAAATCCTCCATGAACATTTGGCGGTCAGGAAGCCTTGTGCCCGGTGGATACCTCATAATTTCACTGAGGCTCAAAAACTCCGTCGGGTTGATTGGTGCCGTGAAATGCATGAAAGATTTAACGGAGGTGACTCAAATTCTGTGTTTAACATAGTTATGGGAGACGAAAGCTGGATTTACTGTTATGATCCCGAAACTAAAAGACAGTCAGCTCAGTGGGTGTTTCCTTCCGAGGAGTTGCCAACTAAAGTGAAGAGAGATCGAAGCATAGGAAAAAAGATGGTGGCCTCGTTCTTTGGAAGAACAGGTCATTACGCGACAATTGTTTTAGAGGATCGAAAAACAGTTACTGCAGAGTGGTACAGTAACAATTGTTTGCCAAGTATTTTGAAAAAAGTGCGTGAGAAACGACCTCGCAGTAGGATCCTCCTTCACCACGACAATGCTTCGTCGCACACCGCCAGGCAAATGATCGATTATTTGGCGACCTCAGACGTAAACTACTGGGTCATCCGCCTCATAGCTCCGACCTCGTACCTTGCGATTTTTATTTATTCCGAAAAATGAAAGAAAAACTTCGAGGAAAACGTTTTATGGACGCCGAGGATTCGGTGGCTACGTTTCAGAAGGCCGTCAAAGAGACCCCTAAGGACGAGTGGGCAAAGTGTTTTTCTCAGTGGTTCTATAGGATGCAGCGATGTATTGACGTGAAAGGACACTATTTTGAAAAGATAAAATAAAGGTAATAACTAGCTAATTTAATCAGTTTTTGATTTTCTAAGAACTTTCAGTTTGACCCTTGTACTATTATGTTATTTGGGATATTACATATAGAAATCATATTACCTATTCCTGAATCATGCATGTAGTCGGGACTCTGCGGTTTGACGAAGGTACGTCGGGAGTCTTCGGTGCCTCTATTGAGGCCCACTATCTCTCTGTAGTCCTTGTTCTCCATGACGAGCGGGGCGTCGTTGTCGAATTCGAACAGCCTAGCGCAGTCCTCCTTGTTAGTCAGCTTTTCCACGGGGTTGTCGCCAATGTCGTTGTGATGAATAAGGTTTGATTCTCGCTTGTAGTCTTTCATATCTCGGCTCGATAAATATGGGGCGTCGACTTTATTCAAATCAATAATTCTAGAACAAGCAGAGAGTATTATTTTAGATTAATTTATGATAGCATAATAATATCTATTTTCCTACTTTCACACATAACGAGGATTCCGTTTATAAATTCATCAGTCGAGGTATGTTAATTTAATTGTTCGTCAATATACAACTAGTGGTTTCTACTTCCACAATGCAATATTAAGTAGGCACGTTGTCAAAATAATTGAAAGTATATTATTATGATCATTACATCGTAATTAATATCGATCACATTTTATTTAACGTATACATTACATTAAATAAAATGTTAAATTAAATGAAATCTTTTACTTTATCTATTTTTAATTGTAAGAAGGAAATGTGTCCACTTGTATGAAAATACTTTATTCTGTCTACATATATAATGTAAAGGAGCCAGTAAATTGTAAAATTGCTGGCCAATATATTCATAAATAACATTTATAAATCATCTTTTTGCGCATGTCCTCTTCCTACAGTTAATATAGTACCTAACCTTGAACTGAACTGCTGAACGGATTTTAATAAACTTTAATTTAAAATATGACAAATAAAATTTAATATCACGAGGATGAATATAGGCTATCTTTTATATAAAAAAAGCAGCCGGAATAACTAATATAATTTTGTTGTATTGCAAAATGTACCTGTCTGAGCGGCGGCCATGTTCGGGAGACCTTTTCGACTCGTGATCGCGTTCGTGCCTCTTGTGATGATTCCTGGAGTGACTCCGTCTGGTCGGAGGCATGACTGCCTCAGGTAAAATCTAGAAGTGACATAAAATTCATTAGTTACCTAGATAAAGCGTTGTTATTACATTCTATCAATATGTAGCCTTACTTTGTTCGGGTTCCGTGGGGGTACAGGCAACTGTGGTTGGGGCGTGGAGGAGTTTCTGTGCGGAGGTACTGGAGGTCGGTAGTCGTCTTGGTGGGATGAATCTGCCCTGAAGTCCGAAAGTATTAAATTATACCTCAGTTACTGTTATACTCTGTGTAAAATTTGAACTACATTGTATATGGAAACAATATTTAGGTATAGGAATACCCCGCTAAGCATCATGTGTTAACAATAATAAATATTTTTATAGTATAGTAATAATAATACTAGATACTAATGGTAGTAGGTAGTATTATTAGTATTAGTGTCTAATTATTGTTCAAATCATAAATAAAGTGATCAGAACGGATCGAAACGGACCAGCCGTTTATAATTACAAAATTTTGTTTTGCATTAAACGTTTCTACATAAAATATTTTTATTAAAGTTCAGGTCTAATAAATCAAATAGGAAACTTTAGTATAGTATACCATTCCTGAATACGTCTTCCCTCTTTATTACTACTCATTATAGAATCATTATTACATAAGTGAAATAATAGAGCTTGGTCAAGTGTTGTATTACCGCAAATTACGTCTAGAAGGGTGTGAGTTTAAATCTGGCTGACACAAAAATACTGTCAATTTATATTTCTGACTCACTCTCCGGTGAAGCAAAAACTGGTATCAAACCAAAAATTATTTTCTAGAATTAATTTTTGGTTTGGTTTGCCACGTTGTATTCAAAATATTCCGAGTGAAATGTTGGCAAGCCAAGTTTTACATTCATCACAACACCGACAGTTGACAATGACTGTGACTAATCCATCTGGGATAATAGTCGTGTCTGTAGATTGAAATAATAATTGTATCTTTTTATTAAATTAATTGTACTACTTACTGCCAATGTCCATCGCCGGACGGCTGACGAGTGTGCCTCACTGGCTTCTTGCAATACGTGGTTGAATCAATAACCCTTTCTCTTCTATCATTTTGCGACGGTAATTCAATCGAGTTGGGGTTATCGAAGCTGGTAACCATAACGTTTCCATTGTCTTTAATCGCATCGTCGGGGTCTACGTAGTTGTAGTTGAGTGGATTGGCGGTGATACGCATTTCATGGTTGCTGTTTGCATTGTCAACAGGCTGCGTAGAGTTGCGGTTGGCGACGTGACGATTGCCGTTGCGTTCAATTGTTGCTCGTCCTGGAATTTAAATTGTAGGTAGATTTGTAATAGATTCATAGGTACCTGTAGTGTAGGTATAGTTTTGTCTGTCATTAATAGCTAGCTATACTTATATAAAATACGGGCAATTCAATAAGATAACATATATATATTTTCTATAAATAGCAAATGTGTATCGTAATATATACATATATACTGACGTTATCATATCCCAAATAAAAAAAATATAATATAGGTATGTTCAAATAAGTATCTATTATTAACCTCTCAAATACTGCGCGTATGTTGAATTCGCTGAATGATTGAACTTTTGAGGCGTCTAGAAGTAACAAATCCAATAATAATAGAAATAACAATCAAAATCTGTTTTATTACCAAAAATAATGAAAAAATTAAATTCTAACATACAACTTACCTAACCATACCCAATCATGAGCGTTAGTGGTTGACTCCCTAGATGGCTTGTCTCTCGCTAAACCAAGCGTGGTACCAACAAGGCCGGCCACTTGGAGCCGTCCTCCTTCAGCCATTGCTGGCATACTGCGACCGATAGCAGTTCCGCCTTCAGTTCCCACCGGTTTAAGACGAGATGCGTACACCACGCATGATACTACGAACACCTGCAAGTTACGTTATAAGTAAGTTTTTAGTGATGATATCATGTTATGTATGGAGCCATGCATACACAGTACGCACCATACTTTTTATATAGATAATAATTGAGTACAAATTGTATATAAAATATTAAGGAGGTCTGATGTAAGGCTTATGAGCAGGCATTTTAGAATACCTTACAATACAAAAAACCGTATATGTAAGTAAGTACAACCTATGGTGTGCACTGTACGTGTATCGGTTATATGAGAAATAACTTACCACAATAGCGAAACAGAATGCACCAAGTAAAACATACATTCCTGAAAATGAAACAATTTTAAATTAGTTCAAATTAAAAGTACTTTACGCAATTAATATGAAACATGAATATACTTGACATTATTTTATTATATAGCCCTACAAACTGCATTAAAATACGTTATAAATGAATGCGTTAGAAATGGTACGTATAGATGATAATAATAATAATATATCTGGACAATTCACACAGCGCCATCTAGTCCTAAGGTAAGCAAAGCTATGAACGTTATTAGTGCTAGACAAGTAATATAAATACATAAACACATTTTTTATAATGAAATACATATATATATATAGATAACACCCAGACCAATAAAAATGTTTATACCGTGCGACGAATCGAATCCGCGATCATCAGACGTAAAGTGGTGTGCTAAACCGCTAGACTACCATGATCGTAGAATTGCTAATATAGTGATATTACATATACTGACCTATTTCTACAGGCGACATGTGTGGGGGCGGGTGTCTGGGATGCACTGCGGAGTTGGTCCGGAAGATGGAACCATATTGTTGCGCCTGTACTGTCGGCTCGTGGTTATTCTCATCTTTGAACGGCGAGAATCCTTTAAAACATCAATTATAATACAGTTAAATTCCTATTTAACTTTAATCTACTTGGTATCTCCTGATTCCGAGTAGATTAAAGGATAAAATTGAATCGAACCAAAGTTATCTTTATGCACTGTATATAATATATTAACTTTCAATGTGAAAAAGAAGGAAATTAGGTTATGGAATAAAGATTGGGGGTATGCTTGATTGCCACCATCGTAGTATGAAAAAAAAAAATTAAAGTTGCCTGGAAGAAAACGCTATTTAGCGATAACATTGTCATAGATCATTTAAGTTGTCTGTATTTTATGTTAAAGGAACAATAAAGTCTTGGTACGAAGTCGACTGACATGACTAGATATAAAGAAGATAGAGGTTATCTTACAATTTTTACACGGTATTTCAGACGCCTATTTGCTTGCTTTATAATTCGTATTTTAGGCGAACTATAAGGTTGAAATAGTAGGGCATGGAAGCATGGAAATTTAATCCTCCGTAATGACAACCCATGAAGAGTACTACATGCAATCACATGGGTATCAGTGGTCACTTACCGACAGTTTGATTTGATTTGACATATTATTAGAAATAGAATAAAAATATTTCTAATTTGAATGTTAACTTTTTACCATTCCAATTACATAAAAAGTAATAATTTGATATCAACAAACGTTATATTATTGTTTATTTATCTTCAATGCACAAAAATAAAGTGTACCAACGTATGGCGGTCTTTACACCTCGCGGCGTTATCTACCAGTCAACCATGAGTAACTAGTGCAGAGAAAGATTGTGGGCTCCGCACTAATATAAATAAGACGTACACGTTAGAATAAATAAATTGGACACATATCACTTCTGCATCCCACAGTATTTTTATTTACCTTTAAGAACATCGCTAAGATCAGCCATTCCAGTTCTGACGCCGCCACGCGCCATAATATCGTCATTCTGCGGAGTATCTGGTCTCTGTGGGACATCACCACCGCTGAAGTCCACGTCGACACTGGCTGCCGCACTCGCTAATGCACCGGGTATGTTTTTAATATTGGCAGGTGTCTTGGCATCTCCTTTTCCTGGGAGAGCAACTCTTCGGAGTGGCCCCGAACGGCATTGTTCAGGTGTTAGAAGGGTCACTCGGAGCAACTCACCACTACCTAGAGATAGATTATTTGTTTAGATACCTAACCGCAGAACACACTTTATAACTACTATACATAACAAAAAAGTATATGGTAATAATAGAATATCTTAGGACAATATACACACCCTCTAGGCCCAAGCTAAGCAAAGCTTGTATTATGAGTACTAGACAGCTGATATAAATACATAGATGCATTTTTTATAAATATATACAAACATAGAAAACACCCATTTATATAACACCTGATACAAACAGTCATACTCATTAATAGAAATGTTTGTATCGTGCGAGGAATCGACCGCGACTATTGGAAACAAAGCGGTGTGCAAAATCGCTAGACCACTGAGGCCGTCAAATATTATAATAGATGTATTTATTCATAAATACATGTATTAAAATGTATATATTTATAAAAAAAAGATTATCTAAAGTATATTAAAGTAGTGTTGTATTCTTTTATTAATGATAAATTAATAAATATAGTTGAGAGTTGCCTAGAAAGCCTTATTAACCTGACTTTAGAAACTAGTTGTTTAATTCGACTGTACTTTATGTAATGTACAGTATTTTAATAATTTAATCAAATGTGGTTACTGCTATAACGGGAGCTTTTGATTTTGCCGTAGGGATTACAATTGTAAATTATATGATTATAATTATTGTACATTGTAATTGTACGCTTACGGAGGCATATCATCATCGTCATCAGTATTCACAGTATGTAATAAATATATGATGGTGTTTATGTCTAGCGGCGATAATTAACACTTTGTATAGGTGAACCGTCAGATACCTTGTATTTGAAATAAAATATTTTTTCTCTCGTTTCAGTAATAATATGTATCTACATAAATACAGTGAAATGAACTTCCTCAAAATATTAATTTTTTTTTATAGTTATAATATATAAAATCCTATGCACCTTCACCAACAGCTATAACTCTTGGATGTCTGGAAGCGAGCATTGGTGCAAATGCCACCACCTCGGGATCTAAACTCTCCACCAGTAGGTAGTAGTCAGACACTGCGACGTCACGCAATGCTGTGCGACTACCATCTGAGAACTCCATGTCGATATCCAGTAGACCTTCCTAAAATAAAAATAATCTTTATTAAATATATATTCTATATATTATATGACTATTATTATAGAATATATTCTATGCTTCATTGGGAATGCAGATTCATTATAAGAAGAACGAGACAGAAACTTGCGTATCGCTCTTTTAAATAAACGTTTTTCAGCATTAGGTACATATTTGAGATTTTGTGTCATCATATTATTAAGATTACTTATTAAAAAAGCAAAACTTATGTTTTATTCCAAGTTTCTTGTCAAATAAAATAACTGATACTTCCAAAATTATTAAATATAATTAAAATAAGGACCACGGAATTAGACTACTTAAAATGAATTTAATTCTAAAAATATTTTGTATAATTTTAATGTAGCCATTAGTTACATGCTACGATGACATAGCATTCACTCACTTGATATTGTGCAGTTAGACGTCTTGTGACTGTGGTTTCAGATACATATCCATTTTCTATCGCCGAATCAGGAGATATGTTGAGTTGAAGACCCGATATGACTCTCACTAGTAGCCGAGAGATCGATACCTTATCATTCACTACTCTCACTTCACGGACACCTATCACACGACCTGTAGTGTAAAAGTTCAAAGTTTTGAAACTTATACGAATCCATATATCCGAAACTGTGATAAAAGTTAGAGACTTGATCTCTTTAGATATATATTAAATTATTAACCCATGAGAGAAATGGACGCTGTTTAGAATATAATATAGCGAAAACAATTTAGCCCAAAATATTTAATGTAATATTAAAATATTTTTTTTTGGAAAACTCTATTTAATATTTCCTTTTATTTATTTATTTAGTTGTAAATTATAAATAACGTAAAAAATAAGATGTAAAAAGTAATATTTCAGAATGCCTTTTCTTAGCACGTTAGGCGGCAGACAAAAATTTATACGTAAATAACAAACAATTTAATCTTAAAAATACTACACTATAAGTGATTTATATAATTAAACAGATAGTAATAGTAAGCTTACCAGTTATTGGCGACAGCACTTGCACTTCAGTCCGGCCAGTACTTCTTCCTTGTAAGACGCGACCACGAAGTGAAGCGATGCGCGGGTCTGATACACGCATCAATGACAACACCAGCTCTGTCACCTTAAGCCACGTTCGCCGTGAAACGAAGTACGAGACACGGCCTGAATCATGATCTTTGGCAAGAAATCTCGCGTACACCTGGTGATTAATAAAAATTCTTTTAAAAATCCATACAGAAGTTACACAAGAAGAACAATTACAACTATTTTTACCAATTTGTAATTAGAATGAAAAACGCTTAATGTTCACCCTGATAGAAAGAAAATAGTAACCGTCTTCTATAAACAGCATTTCAGACGTTATAAATTCTACTGAGACCCTACTATGCCTATAGTAGATCGTATTTGCCATTCAGCAGATCGTAGTTGTTATTCCGGTCATATATGCTTACTTTCACTGCCATATCTAATCCTTTAAACCGGAAAACGCTTTCAAAGCAAACTTAGAGGCAGAATTACATGATAACGCGGACTACACACAAAGGTTTTGTCATATATATGACATACATATAAATAAATAAATATGTGAATGTACTTCCATACCTCTACATTACTCTGTTGATATCTAAGCCTGCAAGTGCGTTGATCTGTCAAAGAGTTTGTCCCGTCCGGTCTGGCACCGCCCCAACCGCGCGCGGTCAGTGATCGTCTCAGTCTGTCCTTTGAATTTGATTCGTCTGATACTTTCCATCCTTCGGAAAAAGTATTATTTTATAAGTAAAAAAAAAAAAAACTACTTACTTCATCATTACATAGTATAAAATAAAATCGCTGTCGCTGTCTGTCCCTATGTACGCTTAAATCTTTAAAACTACGCAACGCATTTTGAAGCGATTTTTTTTAATAGAAGGTTTATATATTTAAAATACATGTACGGTAAGCTGGCTCGTCATCTGCCGCTATGTCAGCCCATGTTACACTTCTTACTAGTATTAACTAACATCATCATTTTATCTAACTATTACCTACTAGTTGAATCACGCAACTTCCTCTGTGAATCTAAACTCACAAACTTTGGCTCTTTATAAGAAAATTGATAATGTTTTTATCTCGTTTACTCGGAATGTAGAAATAAGTTTTAGAAATAAATATAGCTTACATGTATATTAGCTAAACTTATAATAATCTAGCAATTTATTTTGTCACCCACCTATTTTACATAGGACATACCTAATGGAAATCCCAGTGATTTACTACACCGACTTAGTTGAAAACGTCGTATTTTCAAATCTGGCATACATCAAAAAACTTTGTGTCAATTTATACCTTCTACCTATATTTATTCTTAACTTTTCTATAATGGAAACATCCATAACAATCCAAACTAATCTAGTTATATTTAAATTCAAATATATTGAGATAAATATTGAGATATCAAGTATTTTTTATTCTATCTGGGATAGCAGTCACGAAGATGTATTTATTCTATTATATTGGAAACTCATTTACTTACATATTATTACTAATGTCGTAGATACAAATACTTGTAAACTAAAGTATCAAAAAATGCACGCATCTACAGAAAATTCAATTCGGTTCGAAAACTTATATTCTCAAATTTGTATAAATATGTATGTGGACCTATAATGTTGACTAACCAGTTTCACCCTATCAGAATAATGCGTTAAGACTCTTAGGACACAGATTCGCTCTTACTTCATATTGGTACTGGTGACAATATTTTTAAAGAATATGTATTCGAAGGTTTACGCATTATAAAACAATTGCGTAATAATATGTCATTACATAATATATTATACATTATCGAAACTACTAGTTAATATTACAAAAGCAATGGATGTAAGTTTTGGTTTTTCATGGTACTGATTTTAAGTAATTTATACAGTAATATATGTAGTTTATAGATCAGAATCCGACATAAGGTATAATTTAAGAAAATATTGTGTAAATTTTATGTGGAAGCCATTAGAGGCAAAATAACAATGTGTAATTTCGTAATATTATTTTATCTGTGGCAGTACTAAATGTATACTATGAAATTAAGAACTTTTATCGATTATATATTGAAAATAGATTAACTTAATCATTTACTCTATTTTATTGGGCTAAGTAGTTTGAAAGTTACAATGACGAAACAAAACATGAAAGTTGCATACGGTCTTGAATACCCAGGGTATTCATTTTGCGAATTGTCAGTTGATCGTAACTAATATTTTAAAGGTTTAAGGACAACATAATCAAATCTTGCATAATTACATAATTATCAGACGAGAAATAATAAAAATGCAAACGCAGACGACGCCGCGACGTCTAAGGTGGCAATGTTCACACAATTATTTTGGATAATATATACCTAAAGGAAATTTTATACAACTGCAACAATCACAGTTTTGTGAATATTAATAAACTAAGAAGTAGTACTAAGATAGTTAACGAATGTACACTCACCTTTAATCTGTGATAATCGATTATCATCGACGTCAATTTCTAGTGGATTTTCCGGCATCCAGACAGTGAAGCGTGCCAGCCCAGTGTACGTTCCATACTTGACAATCACCGAGGCATTCGACGACCCTCGTATCTCTGATCCGTCCACATAAACTGAACTACATGACGATGATACCTAGATAAGATACAGAGGTACGTTACTAAAATATTTTCGGACGATGTCCCTACTTACAGTAGTAGCACTATAAGTCTGAATTCAGATAAAATATCATCTTAACATTTATATTGACCACGCGTCCTGCCTCACAATACGTTGCGAAATTGTATGTGATTGTTGTAACAAAAGCCGTCCAGGGCAGTCCCAAACTTCTATTTTTTCAGTTTCGCATAATATATAGGTACTTACTACATTCATATAAAATAATGTTTTGTTTTCATTCTCTATTGTACAATTTTCATTAAAGGTAATCAAGACGATAAATTAAAAGTAATAGATACTTATACTATATTAAATAAGTTACACATATCGTAAGTCTTTGTGGTTTAGTCGTTCAGCATACCACCTTATTTCTGATGGTTGCTAATTTTGTTCTAGCAAAAAAAATTGTTTATATGAGTTCTCATACTAAATTTGTTTTATGCGTTTCTGTCTACAAGAGTAACGTATCTCCTTATTTTTATAAGTTGATTGGTACCCATTACAACATCTGGTTACTTTAGGAATAAATGGTGCTGTAAATTTTCCAGGCTTATTAATATTATAGGCATACAGAAGATAGGAACGCAGTCAGATTATGCTACGTTATGAAATTGTGATATTGTTACATTTGGAACAAACAATTACCTATATGTTTTGCAATAAGAAGATACGTCATCTAAAATATAATCCCCGAGTACACACTAGGAAAATAAGACTTACTTTTAATACGCTTTCGTCTTCGGAGTGGCAGGAGCTTTGCAGAGTAACGTCTGCAACCTGACCCGCCTGCGACACTATGAGGACCTTCATAGCCTGCGACACTTGCCGCCCAGTCAGCACAGCCGTGTTTAGTACCTCCCAATTCTGTATCGAATAAAATCATTATACAATTTATATAGATCTATACATATAAATACATAATAATATTGTGTTTAGATAAATCAGGCAAAAATAGGATCAAAAATTCCTAGTCTATCATGTTAAACTACTAAAGAGAAAAGCTTTCAAATAAAATAGTTCTGAGGTATCAAAACTAAGTATATATATAACTAGTAATAATTTATTTGCGTCTGTTATATTACAGAAGTAAACATTTTCAAGTCGATTGACAATTCTAATAATATTATTCCAATAGATACTTTAAAGAACGGTATGTAGGTACCTCCATAAAATATCAACAAAGTAACATTCTGAATCTATGCTACTAATTATTGCTATTTCCTGTAATAAGGAATCGATGAGTACGATTAGGTATATAAAAAGTACCTATTACAAAGATAAAAAAGTAATGCACTGCCTACGTACATTTTTCATAATTAACTGTTTCAAGCAAATAAACCCAATTATGATTATTACTACTACACTGGAGCGATCTGTTTGCGTTTAAGTGTCATTAAGTTAGAACTTTCACTATTAACTAACGCAACAATGATGCTTCAAATTCTCCGACTAATTACGAACATACATTAATAGCACTGTTTACACTTCATTACTCAAGCCGGTTTAATTATTCTGCACAGTCGAGGGGCAGATAAGCAGCATTCATTCGTCAGCGTGCGATATGAAGAGGTTCTAGCTTGATAAAGCGCGTCCTCTCTAATTGGTCTACTAATGGTGAGATAAATCAATTGGTATGAACAGTATTAGGGTTGTAACTTATAAGTAAAACTATCTGAAGTGTGTCGATATATAATATTATAGACTCAGTATTGTATCAGATTCATTATTAAGCTTAGCTGCGTCATCATGACTTGCAAATAGTCTCAAGTTATTTAAAACTTACGCGTGGTTTTTCAGAAAAGGGATGCGTTTTTTGTTTCTTGAACATTTATCAGGATTTTTAATTTATATTATACCTACTTGTAAACGTTTTCTTATTAATATAGAATAATAAATATAAAGTATAAGGACATGTTGAAACATTTAATCTTTAAACAGTTTGATGCAAAAGCATCCGAACCCATATCTCTCAGCTATTTAGGGCGCGCTGTCAGATCAAATTATTGGACGGTTACTTATTAAATATTTACTAATTTAGTACACGTTTTCGTCATCAAGCTGCTCACATAGCTACAGTGCTAAAATTGGACGGCTATGTATAAACTCAATTCGACATTTAATGTAATCTAACTAGTATGTTTCCATACATAGGATTCATGATCATAAAATCTCGTGCATCACAAAATAATACTAAATAAAACACAAACTATAATGTGATGCGAATGTGACTACTCTTTTGAAGGTGCACTTTAAATTAAATGCACTGTAAGCTGCAGTTATTTAGTAAGTTGCATATAAAATAGCCGTAAAATATTTCGCTTTATGTGTCAATTTATATTTCTGTCTGAGTGACGGTAGTAGGCTCGCTCTTTACTACAATGGATTCAAATATGCAAATATAAAATATGTGTAACGTTTACCATGACGTTAAAAATTTAACAATGTCTCTGACTACCCTTTCTAGGATGACAGTCGACAAGGTATAATTATATAAATTTATTTATTTTTATGCTTAGTTTTTGCGTTTAGTTACATCAAAGAAGAGCTAAACTAAGCGTTATTTATTTAATTCTAAACTGTAACAATCTGTCTATCACGTGGCGTTCATTATTAATTGGGTTAGGTATATATTTACACAACGCATATATTCAATTAAATTTTGTGGGCTTCGTTAAGCTAAGTTGCTTGTCTCTCACATTACGTCTGAATCGATGAGCAATAGGCTGAAACTATTATGTGACTATTTACGTTTGTATGAATTCACAAATTAAAATATTTTTTCTGTCCCTCCAATCGATCCCCGTTCGAAATTACGACGGCCTGAGCCGAGGTTCGAACTCCTAGCGGTGCCCTCAGACTAAAGTCGTATCCGTCAGGCGGGAGTTGGCCTTCAGCCGCTCCATAAGTCCATCCGCGGGTTTGGAGTGCCATCTGCACTCGCCCCCTACCGTCCGGTGAAGCTGTAAAGGCCAGCTGCAGCCAACAGCATTAGAATAGTCCGAAAAAAAATAGATTTTTTGTTAAATATATTTGGTACAAAAATCAAAATGTGCAATATACAGAAATTAAAACGAATTGCAAATGGTTAACAATAGTATTTAGAAATCATGTAACCTTTTAATTATATACACCCATAACGTTTTAATTATATGTTTAATATAGTTTTTATATAGCTATGCAGCTTCTAAAGAATATAGAGATGTACCTATATACTAGGTACATTAGATAGAGATCTCTATATAATTCTAATCTAATTTGACATCATTACATAGTATAAAACAAAGTCGCAGTCGCTGTCTATCCATATGTATGCTTAAATCTTTAAAACTACGCAACGGATTTTGAAGCATTTTTTTTTAATAGACAGAGTGATTCAAAAGGAAGGTTTATGTATACCCATGCGAAGCCGGAGCGAGTAGCTAGTATTTAATAAAAGTTTCCTTATATACTCGTACTCTCACTCTTACGCGGATCTCTTCAACATAATTATATTTGTACACTTAAACTAGTTACGCCAAAAATTCATAATACAGGCTACGTTTTTTAATACATGTTGTATACTGCACTGGCTAATCTGAAAATTATATTTATTCAAAATATGTATTTGATAGTTATATGTATTTCATGGTACCTTCTTGTTTATATTTAAATTTCTTGTCAATCGTCCCTAATTTATATCTCCGTATTCCAAATCTTTTTCTGTGTATTCTTTTTACCTATATATGTACATATAAAGTAAGACTACAACAATATGCATATTCTAAAATATTTCTGAAAGAAGAAAATACGAGAATTCTTAAGAACATAAAGATTTACCTTAAGAACATATTATTCAAAATTCATCGACTCGAGCCAAAGTAATAGCCGTGGGCGGTTCGTACCTCTTAGGCGCCATTACCACGCGATAAAGGTTCCATTATACAACACTTCATTCATATAACGAGTAATACTATTAAGCCTAACACTAACACACACGATACATCCAAACACACGCCGCATTAAACACGCAGACATTTTTATAGTATAGTAGTTAGATTTTTTTAATGTATTAAATAAATCATTGATACATACATGAATTTATGAATTCACAAAACTTAGACTTACAGTTTTACAATATTTTGTACAATTTGGGAACGATGTACAAAATGTAAAATGTAAATATGATTCAATATTTCAATTCGATTTGTAACAATATAATGTATTCCCTTTGTAAATGAGCGTTTTTCGACGCGGTGATGTGATTTTTACAAAAGTTAATTTTATTTTAATAATATTATAAACGCGAAAGTTTGTAAGCATGGATGTTTGTTACTCTTTCATGCAAAAATTACGGATCGGATTTTGATGAAACTTTACAATAATATAGTTTATGCAACAGAATAATATACCTATAGGCTATAAACATCACGCGAGTGAAACCGCGGGCAGAGCTAGTGTATAATACATTGTTATGTATATAATTTTCAGAGGCGTGACCCACATTCCCCTGGCTACGCCCGTTCCTTGTATGTAATGTAATATAATGTATCCCTTAAAAATGGTAAGAAGACAACAACGTGCTATATCTGATTATGCATTTAAACGGCATCCACTTGGAAGTTTCATTAATGTTAGCCACTTGTCTAGACTCTCGTCTTACGTTGGTATATATTTAGTTAACTATATGACATAGAAACGAATTGCTATATCAATTTAACAATATTTTTTTAATTAAACCCTTTTATTTTATGCTTCATATATAATAGTAACCGGACTTTAGCAAGGATCCATTATCATAAAAACCCTTGAAACTCGATAAAGATATCATTATAGTAATAAAAGGAGCCCCCTTGGTTTCATTAATTGCCGAGAAAATACCTTTTGGTTAATTTATCGGTACAATCGATGTCTCTATAAATTGTTGATTTCGGGCACCTGCTACGATAATAACGACCGAATAATTGAGTGGAGAACTGCGATTGTGATCTTTCACATTTATTTTGTTCAGGCACAGATATTTAAATTTATATCTGTGAATCGGGGTAGCCGGTTTAAAATAATACGGTTATTTAACCGACTTTAAAATGATGACACTTCAATTCTCATGTGCATCTGTTAAGTGGTATCTTCACTAATGCCATAGAATAAATATTACGTAGCTAATACTTAATATTCTTCTATGCTAAACACATTTCTGTTTTTTGTAAATAAATTTGTCTGTTTTATTGTACATCAATACCTACTATGTGTATATTAAGTATGTACGTATTTCTAAAAGATTTTAATTAATTATACAAATTTTTAATAATTTCGATTCGACATACATGTGGTTTGTTTTTTTATTTCATTACTGATATAATTTAAATACACTCACCTTTGAAATAGGTAGCACTGCTTGTATATCATCTTTTTCAATGTCAAGTCGTGTGTTAACTCTGTGTTCATGAGGAGGATCTTCAGTGGTAGACGTTGACGTTGAAGTGGACGATACTCTAGCGGACCAGCTAAGGCGAGCGGTGCCCCGGCCAGATTCACCCTCGGAGCCTTCAGTATCGCTTTCTCCTTCAGCCCCGACTTCCACGAGCCAAGTGAGCACTTCCTCCCATCCGGGACCTCCGGCACCACTGGTTTCTTCCACATCTCTATGTAAAATAATTAGCTTCAGTGAAATAGTCGTAACAAATTACTAAATATGGTCAAATACTTCATTAGAATGTAAATATTTAGGACAAAATGCACAAATTTAATACTACACTACTTATCCCAGATAAGCCTTACAGTTTTTATATACCAAGATCAGAGTATTGATCGCAGATATCGCGGTGTATGCTCATAGTTATTAAATAGTACATACTCGTACAAACTTATCTAAATATAGACAATTTTTTACAGTTTACTGTTTAAAATATATATAAATAAGTCTCTACAGAAGTTCAATTTTATCAATCTATTGTACTTTAATTTCCCAGCAGAATCGAACTGTTATTCAAGCTGACCCACTTCCTATAACAGTGTCGCGGAATGCGAAAAACTCTAAGGCGAGCGTTGAGAAAATAGGAATGGAATAAATCCTACAAGCCCAGTTACATCGCCCTATTGGATTACCCGGATGCATTTTCACGAGCACTGCAATCTCATTTTCTATCTAGCACATCTTTGGACTAATAGTAAACAGAAACTTCCGTTAAGTAAACACACAGGGCCGACAAACGTCACATTCGTGGTCCCATAAGGAAGTATGTTTTTGACACGTGTCTACAGAAATAGTAGACCGTGGGATACATAAAATCGTATATTTAGGTAATATTAAAAAAATATGGAAACGGCCAGTTCCTACTTTGCCTGCTTTAAACAATACTCTTCAATACACGTCTAACATGTGCAGCATATCTTCTTTTGAAAGAATGTAACTATGGTGTTAGAAATCTTTAAATCGGTCTAGTGGTTCTGGAGATTAATCTCCAAATACAATAACTCAGTAATTCTTTCTTTTTTTCAAAACTCACAATATTATAGAACATATTAATTGTTTAATTTTTCTGTTGTATATAGAGAAATTTATTTTAGATATAGAATTATAATACATATTTATATATAAGATATTTTATTAAACGTAGTTTTACGTACTCCCTTTTAGAGAAATGGAGTCTGGAAAACAAGGTGAAATATGATATAGGTAATATAAAAACTTATACTTAAAAATATCATTGTAAACAGCGATTACACAAAAAGCATTTTGTTTCACTACGATTTTGCTAACAGAATAACCCTTCAAGTTGGCAGTTTTCCCGCTCGTTAACTGAAGTTCCAGGTTGAACAAGTATGAACTGTTGTACTCACGTGTCGAGGCCATCGTCATCTCGTAAGGGTTGTTCGAGGCGGGTTGCGGTTACTGTCGCAGCACGAGGCTTCACTTCAGCGGTGACCGCCCAACGAGAGTTTGCTGCAGTCACACCCACCAGCCTCAGTCCTGACTTCACCTTCATTCTGATAAAAATAATTCTAATTATTTTACCTGGTATTAAGAGAACATACAATAGATACAGTAATATAATATAGACAGCGTTTAAAATAACTTATTTAATTTAGTAACATATATATAATTATGCAAATATTTTAGTAATTTTATTTATACATTATTATATGTTATTTATTTGGAAGTTGCTATAAGCGATGTCTGCATATTATATGCAGACATCGCTTATAGCTTATAAACTTATTCATTTTTATGTTTTATTTTAACAGTTCATAAAATTTCTAGCTGCCTACCACGGCTTGGCACGGGTGTACATACATGTATTATACATATAAACCTTCCTCTTGAATCACTCTATCTATTAAAAAACCGTTTCAGCATGCAGGGACAGACAACAACAGCGACTTTATTTTATACTATGTTAAAAAAGATGTTTAATAATATATATTTGTCTTATAATAAATACCGATTAATTAAATATGGGATGTTTATTGTTAAAGACAGTATGTCTCAAATACATGTAATGTTTATTATATCTTTTTGTTTCATGGACATTATATACAATAGTTAGCAATTTCCAATTTAAATGAATTTTCATCCGCATAGAAATTAATTCAGATTTTAATTTATGAATGCATTCATAAATTTTAAGAATACGAAGGAAGTGAAATTATAAATTCATACTGCATGTAACGGCCGCAACAATAAATATCCATTATGCCTTATATGCTAACCAGAGTAGTTATAAATATCCATTTAGGCATATACAGCATAGCATGTATGTACATATAGCAATACAAAGTTATTCCCGCGCCGCCCTCATCGCTCGTATTTCAAAGTACTGATACAGTATAAACTTTAGAAGCAGGTGGCGCATATATACCAGGAAAATGCGCTTTACATAAGCGTGAATCTCGGAAATACCTTTCCGTATCTTCGCTCAATATATACCTCTCTATACCATATAAATCGAGAATTATTGGAAACACGAATATATAATCGTACATTCTTCAATAGATATACAGTTTGAAATATAAGGACACTTTTGATCCTAACGGGAATACTAAAGCCTAATGTTCCGTTATTGAAATTTTAAGGATTACTAATAAGTATTTTTAAAAGATATTTATAAACTGAGTCAATATATATGATCTTGGCTTATAAGATTAGTAATGTCTTGGAAACAACAAGCTAACAGAAGTAACTAATTATTCACTAAAAATTTTTTAAAAACCGCAATTACATAGAGTTTTTGTTTAAAGACATATCAGACTGTGATCCTAGGTGTTATTTTAAATAAAAATTAGCACTTAAGCCATTTTTATTGAGTACTTTATTAGCCTATAGTAGATCCGTTTCATTGCAGGTATTCTAAGCCTTTGCGGAGAAAGTTTTAATTGGAGCTCGGAAACCGACAATGAATAGGTCTTTGAATTCAACCACAATGTGACATTGTTTATAAATAAAGGGTTTATTGTCTATGAAAAAATTATATAACAAAAAAAAATTTTCCCTTATGAAAAACAATGTTTGAAATACCACACACACACACAATCCAGATTCCCCGTAAAATAACCACAAGAATTGCCTGTTTGCGTTAGTTCACAAGTAATAAACCTGTTCAGTTGGGCGGAATAGTAAGTACAACTGCTATAATATAAGAACAGACGACTTGTTTTGTCATCGTTAACATGAAGGGCCTCGTTGAATGAAAATATATTGAAATGTGTGGGTAACATAAACATAAGGTTAGTCCCTGAGAGGCGACACATGGTCAGATAAACTGTTGGACGCAATTATCATTAAACAACCAGATTACTTTAAAGTTAGAAGAAGTTTCCGTATCCGTTTTAGTAAAACTTATAAAATATTAGATATTATTATTTTGTAATACTACAAAACTATTTTGTTAATTAGGTAAAAATCGTTCTTATATATCTATCCATTATATGCCTTTTTCATAGATTATGTGATAAAGTTTTAAAATAATCCGACAATCCTATTCATTTATTCAATAATGCAGCTGTCTGGACTTATTTTTCAATAATACTAAGTGTATTTAAAGTAGATAAAATGGGACACTAACCTTATAACAACATGTCCAATATTATGGCTGGTATCTCGTCGAACAACGAACGGTAGATGCAATCTTGAATGAGGATATAGCGACGCTCGGGGAAGCAAAAGAGCAGCGTCACCAGCTCTTGCTTCTCTGTATCCCGCCCGAGCGCCCGCCAAAGTGACAAAACCCAACGGCCAGGCTGGCTGTACAGAAACCCTGCCGCAAGCTCCATCTCCATTGTCACTGCTACTGGCTTCCGCAGCGCTATAAGCTAATCTAACAGTTCGAGGTGGCCGTTTGCCTTTTCCATCAGCAGGCCACCATGCAGCTGGCACAGTTAACTCAGCTAAACATGCACCCTCTTCTCCCTCAGGTCCACATGTAGCCGTCAATGATCGTGATCCAAGGCTTGCATGTAAAGTTATGCATACTCTTCTCGGACGTGTGGCTGCTCGTCGCGCCCCACCTTCACCACCAGTGTGAAACAACACCCTTAGTACCGGGGAATCTCTTGGTAGCTCTCGGAATACGAGATGGGCTGACACGTCAAGTCTGTGTGCTGTTGCATCTTGTAATTCTAATAATGTTGCGTTTCGCCTAGGGGGTTCTAAAGGATCAGGTACAGCGTACCTGGCCGGAACAGTTTGTTTTGTTGAAAATGGCCCGTATGTGGCGCGAACTGAGGCTGGTGCGGAGCCTTGTAATACTGTAAACCGATCAAGGGATAGTAATGAACCGGGTAGTGCTGTTCCCATAGGCTCAGGCGGCGGACCAGAGCCACTCCATCTAGCCGTGTGCTTCAAGAAGAATCCGCTGTCTTTATTTTCGAAATGAACTTCGACAGCCAGCGCCGTTCCTGCAAAAGAAAAAAAAACTAACTTTATTAAGCGAAAGTAATAAATTTTCTTTATCGATTAGGACTGTGTAGCATTTGTGTAATGTTAAATACTTTATTTTAACATTTAACGAGAGATAAAAGGGCGTCCAAGCAAAATTTTGGCTTGGTTCCAATTCCAACTGCATTTTATGCAATGAAGTGGAACGACTGTAGATCGGCTCCCTTGATGTTTACAAACAAGTCTGCATTTTTGAATTGAACTATTTGTATACGCGATTGATGACTTCATCAAACTTTTATGTCTTTTGTGAGATCGTATACTAACACAAAATGTTTGTTTGTAAACATAATAAGATAGTTGTTATTTGATCTAAGAAATAATATATCATTTGACTACAGAGTGGTATTGCGATATTTTTACATAGAGAAGGAAATAGGTTCAATTATGACGATTTATGCGAAGCGTAAGTATGGGTAATATTCGTCAAAATTAAAGAGGTGAGAATTCTTTTTTGTGTCTATTTCTTGGTCGCGCTTCACGCTTACTGCGGCAGGGCGCGACACGTCATTCATCTCTCATATTGAAACGGGATTTATGTCACGACCAACTTTAGAAAAACTTTTCGTGGAATTCATTATACCTACTTGCAAGTATTTTATGAATATATCTGTACACATTATATACACGAGATATTAATCATGATAAGAGCTCCCGATATTTCGTCACTTAGTTACAAACGTTCTAGTAACAGGGAGATGGCAGTAGACAATTATTACGAGCAGACTAATATGTCATGTCACAACCATGAAAAAATTTTAGAACAATCTCCATGTCTAATGTTATACAGAAATATTTTTTTTTTTAAATTAACAAGTTCTGGAATAAACATATGGGAAAAAAAATTACGAGTGTAACTTTTTTGCTATATACTATGCATACACTTATGTGTATTAACCATCAACAATATACACAAGAATGGTACAAAAGTATATCGGTATGTATATAGGACACTCATACATATATAGTTGGTATATTATATTATGTCTGGTATAAGTTAAGCATAACGTACAGTATTCAAAAAGTTTTATATATCAACATTACCCAGCTGTATACCTAAGTACAGTAGAGGTAGTTAGAAACAAATTTCCTGTTCAGGGTATAGAGTTATTGCTTCATTTGCAAGGAAACGGCACCACTCCGCCAACACGCGGCACATAACCCCGTGAGTGTGGGAAGATAATAAAAGGCTTTAGCACGTGACGCCTTTAGAACAAAGAAAAATTCACTGAGTTTCCAGTTTTCTATCCTTTTTCATTTGATGTAACAAAAGGTGTTATAGATAGATATTCAAATTATAACGTAAGGGATATTCGTTTTTAACATTACCATTTTTATTTGAGGCACACTAGAAACGTGTCTAAAGTCATTTTGCGTTTACCAATGAACGTAAAAATAAAAAGCGCCGATGCTTTTAAATTTGCAACTACATTTTAGGACATTTCAAGTACTTATATATCAAAAGTTACTAGTAACTACGTTACAGTAGTATACGACAACTCGAATCATTTATCAAACTGTTAAGTCTACCCGATTATATTCCGCGAACTGTAAGCCTGCGGGTGACAGTTGTCATTTTATCACTTTTTACTGTAAAAGAACTGTATCTTGCCAAGCCATGTTAGCTTCAATTCTTGAGATATATTCCTATTCTGAATTTTGGGAAAATATATTATTTTGTTATTTCAAAATAAAAAATCAATATGAAACAATTTATATAACAATGTATATATGGTATATTATCCGATCCTGCATCAATGTTCTTTTTCTAATACTTAGTTATTAGTCTACCTACCCTACTGCTACTGTATTTAAAAGTGCAATTATTTTGCACTTTTAAATAGGCATAAAATACCTTTAGAGATTTTTAAGAATCAGATATAATCAGACATTTTATACTAATAAAAATTATATCTTATCATTTCATTAATGAATGAGTATAGTTGTACTTTACGTGGACGGTCAATTTATATTATTAAAAGTATGTACATAATATTAAATCACTGTATTTAATAACAATGTCGGAATAAATATTATTATACGGACCGCATTTCCCTGTTTTCCCATCCACTGCTCCAATGAACAGTGCTATTGAAAACGTGACTCTCCGTACCTGATGGATGGTTTTTGCTGCGCGAAATAAGAATATTTTATAATACAAATAAATGTCTTCCTTTTGTAATACCAGATGGGGTAATTCTAGACGTTTTATTGCTACTCTCTGTTGATACATGTCGGTAATAATAACTAAAATGTGACCACTGTTTTAAAACTTATGCTTGATCATATATTTGAACTTGGTCTATTAATACATCACCAATAGTATCGCATAGAATTCTACTTATTAATGAGCATAAACTTCAGTAGACAAATTTATACGCAACAGAAACTAAAATAAATAATGTTGAAATTTCTCAGCGAATTGTGAATAAATTAATCGATCCGTGGAAACGCATCATAAGGCTGCACTGCAATTTACATTAAATCAAATCAAATTCCTCTAACACATACATTCTAAAATACATAAGTATATATGCTTTTGCCTACTTCACGCGTAAATATCAGGAGAGTACGTACATTGAGTAACATCCAAACACTGTGCTCCCAAGAGTAAAAGCCTTTATTTACATTGGGTACAATTTATTTATTCTTTTCTTATTACTGAACGTAATGAGATGCTGCCTTCCGTGTTTGTTTAGGATTTCGTTTTTATAATGACTACACCATGATGAAAAGCTGGATGTAGGTACCATGTTAATTGTATCACTCAAAGCTCTGTACGGTGTGTGTTTTACATTATACGATAACAAAGTATAAATTAATTTGATCTGATGTAAAAGAGAAACCCGGAACCGGCATATTCATGGAATTATTTAAGTGAGTTTGTCCTGGATACCTATACACCTATGTACCTATATACTTATAGTTAAGTTAAGTTAAGCACATAGTTAAGTTATAACGTAAAATTTTATAGATTTTTTTTATTGTCACTGAATATATTTTTTTAGTTTGTCGTAACGCGTATAAATTATAAATATGTTTTAATAAGTGAGAACATATTACTAGACAATAGAGTATCATTAACATAACATTCCGCATGGTATACATATATACGAGTACAGAGTTTTTTGCAACAATTCAAGTAAGAAAATAAAGCTATGACTCAATTTAATAAGTAACAGAGTACATGTTAGATATAAAGACATTAATACTATTTACAGATAGTACTATAGTATATCTATAGTGTCTATATACAGTAGTACATATACATCTACAAATTATTTAATTCCACATTGACCCAGACGTACTATGTCCGCCCACTACGATGTTTTGATAAAAACAGTAGATATCGGACTGCGGCCACGCCTGGTTCGTATCTAAGGATTAGTTCAGTGGCAGTTATTACATCCCCTGGAGTCAGCCCGCCACCCTCACTCGCCGGCCGAAATCGAGGGAGCGATCGGAAAATGCGATATCAATTCGCGAAACTTCACTTTTTATAACAGAACACGCCGCCATGCCTACGTCCTCGCCATCGTTTAGGAAATTAAAGAGTCGTAGAATATAATAAAAAAGAAAGAATTTGACAAGTCAAAAATGTCTCGCATTCCACAATTAAACAAAAGTACTACGTCTGCTGGTAGGGCTCATAAAATTATACTTATTTGTTAAGAATACCCAAGTAGATATAACCGAACTGAATTGCTCCTGAAATTTGTATAAAACGACTATAAACTGGGAAAAATTGAGGTAAAAGAAGGCCGCGTAAAAAATAATGGCCCTCCCCGCGCGGACGGAGAAGGGTGGACTGCTAAATAAATTGTTTGCCTTTTTCAATTCTACGCAACCACATGTTCTATACAGCTATACAATTATACACACGCTGTACTTAAAATTAATTATTTAACGCTCTGAAATTACTTCTTTTACTTATTAAATAAATAGAAAGGCAAATAAGAATTCAATAAAATAATAATTTAGAAATTTTATGAAGAGATAATTCATACCACGTAATTTTATACACAAATTTATTTATTCATGTAAATTAGCATTTAATATTTTCATCTTGTTATATTTAAATATCTATACATATATTTCTTTTTGTTTTCAGACTTTTTGGAAGATTACTAGTAAGACAACAAGACTCAAGTGAAATAACTTTATGTTTTTTACATATTACGGTTTACACAATTGAGATCTACATTGTTACACCAGTTTTGGTTGTATACCAACGGGTAAATTTTATACCCATAGGTATCTAGGCACGTGTTCGCAATGCCGCAAGGTTATATGCGTGTTGGGCGAAGGGCTGTGTGCTTCAAGATTATAGCGGGCGAGGGAGAGGGTCGTCCAGGGGTGGCGATAACCTTGGAGTGGCATTAAATTACATTTAGTTTAAATGAAATAATAGCACTTGTATTAGCTTTCATTGTTACTTACAAGATTTCTAATTAGAACTTTCTGTAAACAAATAATAATGCAACAGAATTGGCATTAGCTTTGTTCTTTAAAATTTAGATGTGGATCTTTTCACGCAGTTATGGTTTTTTTTATAGTACATTTTCTTTATCAGGCGTATTCATAGCGTTATCAATTGACAAATATACCATAAACAGATGAATTAAAAAAGAACAGTTTTGAACTAATAGACACATTAAACGTTTGTAGATAAAAAACCTGTTTGTATTAAATACTGGATAGGTAGATAACTCTTGAATGGGTAATCAAAAAACGTATACTTCTTATTGTATTCAAGATTTATTCAACGACATCTCAAACATTTCTATATACCTCTTTGTAACGTTTAGACTGTTCCTTACGAGTACATCAAGTCTATAACATTCTATCATACGAACAGACAGAGGTACGTGACTTGCGATAGAATTAACAGATACTATTGTAGCGTTTTGACTATGGAACCTAAAAAGATATGAATATAAAATCAATATTCAAAGGAAAT